TTTTGTCGTCATAACTCCTTTGTAGTAATCTTAAGTATTTGTAACGATGGATGGATCTACGCAAACCTAGAGTTTGATCAATGAGGAATGATCAATTATGTACCGTACTTCCAAAATCCCAATAATAGTCCACAATTACAATATCTCTACACTGGTAAAGTAATTAATAAAATACTTTTAATTCTTCAACAATAGATTTTGTTAAAATATTTCTAGCTTTGTCAATAGCATTTATTTCTAGTGTTACCAATTAAGTAAATCTAATATCACACTATCATTTAAGTTATAACCAAAAATTTACATCTCCAAGAAAATCGAAACACAACCCGCTTTGGTAAATCCTAAAGCCACGACTCGGATTAAGAATGTTTACTACCAATGTTTACAATATTCAAAAGAAAGTTGTTACTTTTTGACGATAAGTCATATCATAGACAAAAAGAATTAAACGTCAGTTGAGCTGGAGCAGCTTGGAGCGCCGTGTAGTTACGGCGTACGCGCTACGTAACTACACGGCGCTCCCAGCGGTGTGCGCCAGAACCTATGGTAACCGCAGCATGGCTGACTGTCTATATTTAATTCTTTTTGTATATGGTCATATTCAACGTTGTCATCGGGTTTTCAGTGCGTTATCCACAAGAAAACCACAACAGATCAAAGAATATTGTTACTGTAATATTTTCTGTTATCTTTTGAAATCAGCATTTGGTCGAAAACCATGTTAGACCCAAAGTGCACGACAAAATGATTAGACCTAGTGTAAATATTTTAAACAACAGCTGATATCAACAACACGCTATTTTTCACCACACTATACCCTATTACCACTATTCGCCACAATAAGAATGTACACTAACAGCATAGATAAAAAACAAGGAGTATCTCTATCTATGCTAACAGTAACAGTCAACACAACTTTAAGGTTATGTGAAGAAATCACTTGAGGAATCAGCAAAAATAATAATAAATAGTTGCTAGGCAACGGTGATACTGATTGTGTATTTAGCATTCATGTTTGAAGAAAGTAATGCGGACAGCTGATTTTACGGCCCTAGGGATGTACCCTGCTCGGTCCCCAAATGACGATGACAGCTGGCTTGGTCGGCAAAACGTAACTTTCAGCCACCAATTAACGTATGTAAAACAGCTAAAAACATCATAGTGTGGTGAAAATATATTTTCCTTACTAAGGCGTTTGGCTCTTTTCGGCCCAAGCTCAAGTTTTGTAAACTGGCTAGGATTGAAAAGACGCTTTTAGCCCATGTGATTAATCATGTCTTTTGTCTAATTGCAACATAATAAACTAAGTCTGAAAACAAAAATTCATCAACAATTACCTCTCAAAATGATTTCCTTGTTTTCAAAACTTTGCTAAAGCCCAGCTGTTTAGATATTTGTGATTATTTAGTTCGGTGTATTACGATGATGTTAGTGTACATTACCATTGATACGTCGAATAATTGATAAGAATGCAAGAAAAAGAATAAGCCATAGCCAATCAAAATAATCGGACCAATAATTCAACATTTTTGCCCAAGCTGGACTCTGAATATTCTCCCGTCCTAATAACCTTCTTCACGCAACCTTAATTCAACTGTCCACCTCAACGATTAATTAATGGAAAAATCTACTGGGAAATGTTTAGTATGGAATTGGATAAATGTGTCGGAAAATATGACAAAATTATCGTCTTGCAGAAATTGCAAACTCTGTTAAAATATTTGTTAGTAAATTATTAAAATGGTTGTCAAAAAGCTATCTTGAAACCCTCACCTCCCACTCCACAACGACTACTATAATCCCCCAATGACACATTAGAATATTATGGCAGCGGTTTATGTAGAGATTATAAGATTTTATAAAATTTAAATAAGTTAATAAGATTAAAAAAATATATTTCTAACTCAGTATTGTCTCACTACTATACATTTGGAGGCTGCTTAGCGTTTTGCAAACACATTTTAAATAGTAGGGAAATTGACCAAAGTGGAAAAGAGATATTCTGAAAGAAAATAAATTTCCTACAAAACACTATTAGGCATTTCTTGAAAATATTCAGTATGGACTGCCAACAGTTGCCACCAAACAAAATACAGTATGTGAAACACCCCGTTTCCAATGTATTTCTTAAGGAAACACATTTCTTTTAATTTTCGCCATTTATCTTAACAAAAACAAACTTTCATAGTAAACCTACAGCTTTCCAATGACCCTTTATTGATAAAATTGGTTTAGGAGAACTGTAAAGTTGGCAATGATTTAAAAAACGGAATATTATAACCCAAATAGATTGTGATTACGATCATTTATACACAGAAAACTTGTAGACTAAGCAAATCCCCATATCTGATAGGTTTTCAATATATTAAATGAATTTATGAGTGTAATTTTTCCAGATTGGTAATATATTGGACCATGATGAAGATTGATTGTCTTGGATGCGATGTGTTGATTTATCACCCTTTTATACAATAGTTTCATAAGTCTCTTTTTATTTGATGTATTAACAACAGTAGTGTGTGTGTTTCGTGTATCACCGCTAGGTGCCACTACTGTCATCGTCAAGGGCCACAACAGCTCGCCTAGCGGAGCTAGGTGTCACTACCGGTACGAAACAGTTCGCTCAGTCTCCGCCAGGTGTCACTGAATACTTAATCCACTGTTGTTTATATGTTTCTATTCATTTAAAACTGTATGCACATCATGAGCGATATTGGCTGAAGCTAGAAAGATAATAATACACAATACATTGAAAATTACGCACCATTTTTCAAATTAACCCCGTGGTATTAAACAAATTAGACTTTGTATCTGTTGACACTCGCAGTGATTTTTGCGTGGCAAATATAAGACTACCTCGATTAGAGTGGTTTCGAGATTAGTTGTTGTTTTGGCAGATCCAAATATATTCTTTGAGAAGCCGAGAATCGTGTCTTTTTCTTGGAGACCGATGATTGGCTTATAACAATCAATAATAATGTATAAATCTAAAGCTAGTGTCTCGGTGTCTGTCCGTCTGTATGTGTAATTACTAGTCAAAGCTAATAGGTGCACAGGGTCGCCGGAATTTTATCCCCCTGGAATTTTACCCCCTGGGCAAAGCTGACGTCACTATGACGTAGTAACCTGAGTGGCCAAAAGTTTGTTCGCGGCCGGAATTTTACCCCCGCGGATTTCGAAGTCTAATGAAAATAGTTAGAGCGTGATTAATTCAATTAGCGATAAAAACCGGAATTTTACCCCCTGTCCATATAACTAGTGTTTAGACAACTGAAATGTACGGGCCGGATTTTTACCCCCCGGAATTTTACCCCCGGAATTTCACCCCCGGATTTTTACCCCCCGGAATTTTACCCCCTGGCCGATTTTAGAAATTGAATGATTGGTTTTCTTATTTCTGTTTTTAATTAATTGTAAACATTTCATTATTTAGTGGCCTATCTCTATTTATTTATTTTGTAATCTCATTCAGTTGATTGTATATACGTCATATTAACCAAAAGTTGGCTTCAAAGATCGAATCCTAATACTTGAATCTCAAAATTAAAATTAAAAACATGTTCGATTAGTTAATGTCACAAATAAATTAAGATAGGCTACTTAATAATAAAATGTTTACTATTAAATTAAAACAGAATGAAGATAATTAATCATTCTCACTAATTTTTATATCTAGCCAGGGGGTAAAATTCCGGGGGTAAAAATCCGGGGGGTAAAATTCCGGGGGTAAAATTCCGGGGGGTAAAATTCCGGGGGTAAAATTCCGGCGGGTAAAAATCCGGGCCGTACACTCTGGGTTTTTATAATTTGACGTGTTCTGGTTAAATTCACAACCGTGAAAATATATGTTTAATTCCGCGTTTAATCCATCGAGCTGATGTCGCGAAACTCAAAAGTTCGCGGCCGGAATTTTACCCCCTGGTTTGTGACGTCACGTTTGCCCAGGGGGTAAAATTCCAGGGGGATAAAAATCCGCTACCCCGGTGCACAAACTACTGATGAGCCAACTGGGCTTAGCTTAAATTTTACAAAAATAAAGCTACCATACCAAGGACTATTTACACATCGATTCTAACCGTGGGCTTTGGCTTAAACAGTTCTGAGGTGAAAAATAGGTTTTCCCATTTTTGACCCTAAAAACACAAAATTTTACAATTTCTTTCCAGACCATTTTGTAGAGCTTAAAAAACAAATAATTTAGTATATTGAAGTGTTGTTGTGCGCCTAATGGTTACGGAGAAAATTCCAAAAGATTGTTAATTTAAAATTCCCATGTTATTCTTATGGAGAATAAGTCAACTGTTGTAGTTTGATTGTTTATGAATTGGAAAATACTTTCATTTCTTACTAAACGAATACACTTAAAAAAAAACACCTTTACCCACCCTGTTGCAGCAAACCTAAGTACTCGTTGGGATATTTTTATGAAGGCATTTTAGTGTAAATCCAATCAGGATAATGGAAATTCGCTTAGTCTGCAGGTTTGCTGTGGCGTAGTATTTTAATAGAATATTCGCTACAGCCCTACAGCTCAGTGCAACCATTGAATGTTGTGGTTATATAGTCAATGGTACAACAAACTTCGCTACTTGAGTATCCAGAGTCCCAATGCTAATACCTACTTTTTACTTTGAAATGGCAAATATCCCGGGGAATTGTAGGATATCTCTAGGAAAGCCTAATAATCACAGTTCTTTGATAATATAATGTCATATGGTACTAAAACTAAGAAGATATCCTGGGGATGATTTGTGCTGTGTGGGAACATACCCAGTGTTACTGAAATTGACCACATCTTTATTATCTTTGGTAGACATTTAAGGATGATGAGAATATATCATTGGGATTGTATTTAATGTTATAATACTCTATTTTTTAACCTGTGGTTATACACAACAGATAGTATGAACATTGCAGCCTTAGTTACCTAAATAATCTACTTCATTCCCAAGCCTTTGATGTCCAACAAGCTGTTCAGTTCATGACCGTAGTACTACTACGCCATTAGCAGAAGAATTATTTCCCGTCAAATTACGGCAGTGCTTGATGATTTGTCGAAATTCAGTGTTTACAAGTGAAGCCAATTTTAATGTTTCCAGTCATTCTATTTTGTTTTTAAAGTAGCCATCAAGTTAGATATCCTGAAAAAGGTGAGTACAAGTAAAACGTTATTATTGGTATAGCTTTCTGTTTGACGCTTTCGTCCTTGTCAACTCACTTCCCAATAAAATAGATCCACATCCAGGAAGTCGTTTGTTCATTGAAAAGTTCCGAACCAAGCAGTGTCTGATCAGTTCCAGTTGTAAATATTGTGCATTCTTGTTCTCATAAACTTTTGTTTCAACGTTTTTGCTCAAAGTGACTCTTGTTCCGATAGTTGATTCTTAATTTATACAATTGGTCGATCTGAATAAAATTTATTTTATGGACTATGAAGTGACATAATTATTCACTCGAAGCTGTTGGGTTGGATGAGTAGGCTAGCTAAATTTATATTTTTAAGTATATTTTGTTCCTACCATTTGCCATGTATTAGTGTTGTAACTCTAGCTGATATGATTCTAACCTAGAATATACAACAACTGTTAAAACCTAAGGCTAAATTTACATGGAAGTAGCCTAACTTTACTTTTTTAACAATTGAAACTTAGTAGCCCTAACCTAAATTGGTTCTAGCCTAGGTCTAGTACTCCCAGGATCTGTCCTTGAAATAAAACCATCTCATTATGAGGTATGCTCAGCTTGTAATGGGGCCTGCTGGCAGTGGAAAATCAACTTATTGTTCTGCAATTGCTAAACACGCTGAAGCTGAGAATAAAGTGATTCAAGTGGTGAATTTAGATCCAGCAGCTGAGTATTTTGATTACGAACCATTTGTAGATGTGCGAGAACTAATTCAGGTAGATGATGCTATGGAAGATGAAGACATGCAGTTTGGACCAAACGGAGGCTTGGTTTTTTGTATGGAGTATTTGTTAGAAAATGTAGATTGGTTAAGAGATCAGTTAGGAGATGGTGATGATGACTACACAATTTTCGACTGCCCAGGACAGATAGAACTGTATACTCACATGAATACAATTAAACACCTGGTTGAGCTATTACAGCAATGGAATTTCAATGTTTGTGGAGTGTTTTTGGTTGATGCTCAGTTCATGGTTGACGGACCCAAATTTCTATCAGGAACCATGGCAGCTCTATCAGTCATGGTGAATTTAGAATTACCTCATGTCAATGTGTTGAGTAAAATGGATCTTCTTACCAAATCTGCTCGTAATCGTCTTGACAGTTACCTTGATCCAGATCCCAATGCCTTGTTGCAAGACAACGAAAAAACATCAACGTGGAATTCAAAATACCGAAAGTTAACAGAAGCACTTGGACAGATAATAGAAGACTTTAGTTTGGTTCGTTTCCATCCTTTGAATATTAAGGACGAAGAAAATTTGGCGGACTTGCTGTTGACAATTAACAATGTTATCCAGTATGGTGAGGACGCTGATGTTAAAACTAAAGACTTTGAGTATCCTGACCCAGAAGAAGAAAATGTGGAAGATGGTGACTAAAATGACTTTAAACTTCTAAAAAACCTAACTAAAACAAAAAACTTCGATAATTTACCATCAACATTGTTGGATACCATTCTATGCCTAGGCTACCCTATGTCATTTTCAGGTAATTTTAATAAAATACACATCTTTACAATTTCTAACTTAGTTTGGATTTTATATTCCTGTTCTTTATAAAAGTTTAAAGTAATGGGCCTGAGTAAATAACTTAAAAGGGATCAATTATGAAAATGTGACGACTTTTAATAATAATTTTAACCCTCCGAATGTTATTTGTCAATGCGTCGACACATAACACACTTTGTGTAGTGTTTTGTGTCAATGCATCGACTCACAAACACTGTTTACGGCGAAGGCTCTATGACTGACAAAATCGGATTGAACTGGATCGAGTTAGGTATCGTTTTATTTTGCAGATTTAGAGCTTTCTCCGGAGGTCTGTCTCTAAGCGCTTTTCATTTTAGTTCTGAAAATATTGTAGCAGACAGCTGACGTGCGTATTTGTAAACCGCTTTGGTTAACCTCGCACTAATGTTTTATTACGTTTATCATTGTTTTAGTGTTAAAAATCAAAAGTAGTGATAAACGTGGTGCATTATAAGAAGATTTAAGTGATTTTGAAGGGCTGGTTGATGATCCTGAAGAAGTAGGTAGTGATATTGATGTAAATTATCAGCCAGATTCCTAGCTATGGTTAGGCTATGCATTCTTAGCTAAACACTATGTACCGAAATCTGTTTTTTGCCCATAACTTATTTATTTGCAAATCTACTTCCTTATATTATTATATATTTGTAATCCTCATACAATTTAGAACAAAGTGGCTATTTTCAAATATTTATAGGCCTATAATTTATACAACTTCATTGAGTGCGAACTTATTTTTTTTTTTAAATTTTCCAAATTTTTTTTTTACCTAAAATTTTTTTTTGAAACAAATGTTCCTTATGTTTTATGTATAATATTGAAGCCCATGATTTTCCAAACAAAATGGTATATAGAACAGTATAATTAACATTGTTTTCAAGTTTCTCAGATCCGTTTTAATAAAACCTTGCAAATGAGCAAAAAATAGGCAGACATTAAGGCCAAAACAAGGGACACTCGGAGGGTTAAGGATTAACTTAAGTCACTCTAAATTAGGGTGTTTTATTTTTAATCCATTTTTGATCCATTTTAACTTGAGCCTATTTTAATCCCATGTCAATATAAATTTGAGTCTTAATGATAACTTTCATGACAAATTAGAGACTTTTATGAAAGAACATTATTAAGAAAACCTTTTTTTGTAATAAGACGCTAGGCAAGACCTATGGGTTGCGGCATTATCACTTGGATAAAATCCATTGGTGATTTGGCGGGATTTGAACCAGGGACCGGAGTCCTGTGCTCTAACCACTACACCAGCTCCCTCCCCATCAAGAAAACCTTAACCACAGTACAATTTCACATTGTTTCCTGGCCTACCAAGTAGGCTACTTTCAAAAGTCCTTGAGTGTTTATTAGAATACTTTGTGGTGTGATATTAAAAATATTAAGTAGGTTTTAGCCTACGGTAAACTACCTATTGCAAGATTTTATCTTTCTAATAACCTTGATGAGATAAGGTACTGGTACATAACTTAATCAGGCACTTTCCTGTTAAAGGGAACATTCATTATTATCGATGATTTTTTTGATATATCTATACCTACAGTATTTTTGTTTTCCAATCCATTACAAATTGACAACTGATTTTGTTTAGGCTAAAATAGTCTACAGTATTATATGGATTAAGAAATTAAACCGTTCTGAGCTAATCTAACATAACCAATCAAACTTACTGTACCATTTAAAAATTCCGTTTGATAACAGAAAAGACAAGTGAAACACATAATTTATAAATGTTACAGCAAGTTTGATTAGTTATTTTAGGTTATTTTTTTAGAACAGTTTCATTTCAATATTGTTTGTTGATACTGAACAATATTTATCGTAGTCGTACAAATTGACAACTGATTTTGTTTAGGCTAAAATAGTCTACAGTATTATATGGATTAAGAAATGAAACCGTTCTGAGCTAATCTAACATAACCAATCAAACTTACTGTACCATTTAAAAATTCCGTTTGATAACAGAAAAGACAAGTTAAACACGTAATTTATAAATGTTACAGCAAGTTTGGTTAGTTATGTTAGGTCATTTTTTTAAAACAGTTTCATTTCATTATTGTTTGTTGATACTGAACAATATTTATCGTAGTTGTCAGCTGATATGTTTCAATTTGTTAGTATCGATAGATCGAGAAAAAACCATCGATAATAATGAATGTTCCCTTAAACAAGAAAGTACCGTGATAGAAAATTTTATAGGCCTAACTTACTGGTACTCAATTGATACATTTTGTCAACTTTAAACCATTAAAGTTTTAAACCACCATGATCCCTTAGCTGCTCCCAAATCCGTCAAAAGGCAATTTGGGTGGACATGTTAGGTTAAGATGATCTAGGTACCGGTATGCCTAGTTATATATTATGTATTTTTTTTAATAGGACTAAGAAATATAGTACAGTGTAACATTTTTTGAAATTATAATAAGAAATGAAATTATAATAACATTGACGATTGCAATGCAGGTTTTTCATGTTAAAAGCAAATAAAGACATTTAATTTCATTTCAATAAAGATAAAATCAAACATAAATCAAATCAAACATACTTTATTTCCAAATAATAATACAGAATATAAATTATAACATAACTTCCAGTGGACAGACACCCTACTTGCTATTGCATAGATAAAAATAGGTACCTAATTAAATATAAAAATACAAATAAACTTAATAATAACAACAAAGGATGTAAGGTCTCAGAGAAGCTATGTTAAACATAAGGAAATAAGCCTACATGGGCTGGAAGCCTGTGCGTAGGCTCAGTCGCTATCAGTGACTGACGTATTTGTTGGAAAAATAAATAAAATGGAAAATAATATGAATATAAATAATATTTATATTCATAGATATTCAGAGAATCTTAAAAACAAATGATTTAATATAATTGTAAAACTATTCTGATTCTAAATTGGTGAATGAGCAATTTAAGGAATGAGGCAAGGCGGAGGGCACATACATATAAATATATGTAGTTAAGAATGTTCGATGTTAGTAATTCAGTTATTCAGTAAAGATTACGGGAGAATAAAGTAGAGTCAAGTCTGCCTGTACTCTGCTTTGATTAGGAGTTCTGATTCATCTACACCCCACTCTATCAGACAGCCAGTGATGCATTTTTTGAAAATAGTAATCGATGGAGAATGGAACAAATGATAAGAATTACAACGGGAGATAACATTACGATATAAAACTTCAGAAATGTAAGAGGAATTTGTTAATGAGTAAGACTTGGCTAAATGGGAGGTAGTTATTCCAACATTCTGTGCATATCGGGTATTATAAGAATGTGATGTTTGGTTAAAAATAGAATCGAAGTTCTTGAAAATATGAATTGAAAGAAATTTGATAAATAACTGTCTGACACTGAGTAAGGATAGTTCACGAAATAATGTGTTAGTGGGGTATCGAATTGGCTTATTGAAACAAACT